CTAGGAACACAAACCCTAAACCTCGTCTGTTTTTTCATGTTCATCGACAACTCAACCCTCCAAGACCTCAATGCCTACAACCTACTAAAACCCCGAAGAAACTCCCACGACGAAACCCGCCTCGGCGTGTGGAGGATCGTCGTGCAAGCCGGTTCTCTGTACGAGAACGCGGCCATGAATGGGGTGGTACCGAAGTACATGCCCCACAGGCTGTTCCCGAACGCCAAGTTTAGCGTTTGGGTGGACGCGAAGATGCAACTGGCGGTGGACCCGCTGCTGCTGGTCCACTCGCTGGTGGTGGCCAGGGAGGAGGAGGGGGTGGAGATTGCGGTTTCCAGACACCCGGTTTTTGTGCACACCATGGAGGAGGCGGCGGCGACGGCACGGTGGAGGAAGTGGGGGGATGTTGGGACTTTGATGATGCAGATGGAGACTTATTGTGAACATGGGTTGCAGCCATGGACATCCAACAAGCCTTTTCCTTCAGGTATCATTGCTATCTCTCCATCTCCAAAATTAGTATAAAGAGTTAATTAAAAAAATAATTCTCATTCACTATTCATAGAGTCAAACTTTTTTCACTTTGTTGGTCTATTTTCGTGTTCTATTTGATAAAATAATATAGTCATGTCAGCTTTCGTTTTGTAGATCTTTTTATATAGTTTTTAAATATGTAATTTTAATTTTTTTAATTTCATACCATTTTTTATATAAAATGATTTGGAAATAACTTCATTCAATCATCGTAACACGCAACGATAACTTTATTTATGGACGGAAGGTGTATTCAAACCTCTAATGCTAATTTTAAAAAATATTATTTGCAAACAATACCTATATACATATATATTTCTACCTGTTTTACAATATTTTGTCAAACTTTATTCTTGATCAGTCCCAATAAACGCTTGACATTTTGGATTACTAAACTTAACTAACATTATTTTTAATTTCATTAGTTACATAATTGTAGTAGAAAAAATGTATATTTTCATTTACACATTTTTGCTTTGAGTCTTATCTAAGTTATAGCTAGTCATTTAGTCTACTTGAGGAGATATGTACAAAAGTGTAAAGAATTGAATGATTCTCCCAAAGACCAAAAGGAGTTGGAAGCTAAGTTACATTTAAAACAAAGCAAAAATGCATTAAATGCACATTCTTAATATGTTGCGTGTGAGTCAATCAAATAAGCACTTACCAAAGAATCCAATAGATTACTTTTTAATGAGTGGACTTTATTAAACTTTGACATTTACCCTATGTTAATATAAGAAATGATTTATAATGCCAAAATAATGTAAAATATTATTCATTATATCTAAAAAAAGGATGAGCCTCATTTTCGAGAGTCCCTTCAGACCGGTCAGATAGTCACTGAGAGAAGGTAAATTAGATGTTAATTAAATCTAAGACGCTCAAGTATGTAGATCAAACCAAGTTTAGAAAAATTTAATTCAACTGATTATTTCGTTCAATTCAAGATCTTGTATACAAACATATTTATAAATAGTTACGATCCCTATTTCCTACTATATCACAGATGTGCCAGACAGCGCGGTTATAATAAGGAAGCACACCAAGGCATCAAACCTCTTCTCATGCCTCATGTTCAATGAACTTGAAGCATTCAACCCAAGAGACCAACTTGCATTTGCTTATGTAAGAGACTTGATGAACCCTAAGCCAAGAATAAACATGTTTGATGCTGAGGTTCTTGAGCAGGTGGCTGTTGAGTACAGGCACAACCTTAAACATGGTGGTGGGGCATCATCAGCACAACAAGTGGGTCCCACTGTCAAGATGCCCATTGGTGGGGCCAGCTTCACCAAGTGTGATGGGTACTTTTTGAAGATGTGGGGTGAATCCAATGATTGATTTTGTCTTGCTATTTCCTCAATCTTCTTTTGGGAAATTTGGGACCAAACAAAGGTTTGAATTAAACTTTTTTTATATCAAATGTAAAGAAGAAGCAACATATATAAGTACTCTACTTGTGACTTGTGAGCAAAGCAAAGGAATGAATACATGTTAGGCTAGATTTGTTTCATTTTTTAGGAATCTTAAGATTAAATTGGTTGGGTAAATTTGTTGTCAGTTTTTTTTATTTTTGTTTTCAATTTTTTAAATTTCTATTTTTTCCAAACACTTTTTATTAAAATTTCGAAACTCATATAATTTCTTTCGGATTTCGAAACTCCTGTATTATTATATCCCCAAACTCACTAAACAAGCCCTTAAAAATTTTCAACCACGAACCATAGTCTTTGTATACTCTCTGTCCTTGATACGAACTCGTATCGGATATGGAAGACTTAGAGCATCTTCGAGCTCCTGAGAATATGGGACGAGGAAGAAGAAGAAGAATTGAGGCGGAGGAGAGAATCGGCGAACCGAGGGAGGAAGGGGATTAGGGTTTGATTTGTTTATTGATTGATTTTCTAAATGAGGTTACATCTCTATATAATATTAATACTATTAAATATCCTACTCTACTATCCATAACACTCCTAAACTTATCGTCACTATTATTATATACTCCATCCGTTTGGAAAAACCCTTCCCATTTTGATTTGGGGTAAAAATAAGGAAGTGTTAAATTATAGTTGATTTCCAATTTTGCCCCTGATGTGATGGGTAAAAGTAAGATGTGATGGATAGATTATTAGAGAAAAAGTATGATGTGATAGCTAGGTAGGGTATGAAAAAGTAACGGTAAAGTGGTTTTTAATAGAAAAGAGAAGTGTTTTGTTGGAAGTAGAAAAAATGAAAGAGGAAGTGTTTTTGAGAACGGATGGAGTATATATTTGGACTCTCGAAATTTTTTGTTTATTTATACGTTTCCATTTACCATTTGATAAATATAATATTTATGACACATCTTAGCTTGTTTTAAAGAAATTTTTATGTAGTTTTAAAATATGTAATTTATATTTTTTATTTTTATATCAATTTGTAATTATATAAATAAAAATTGATGCGAAAAAATTATTTACAATAATTTTCCTAAACGTTATTGAAAAGAAATTTTTGAATTACATCTTTGTAGTTTATGGATTCTATTATTACAATATAGTAGTATTCATATTTTCTTAGTCTAATGACGTGGTGAATCTAAAATCTAGGCTAGAAATCTTTCCCCAAAATCCCAAGTCAAGGCTATGAAATTGACCTTTTTTATTCCCTCCACCCTGAATTGAATTTTTTATTTCGGTTCATGAAATTTGAACAACTTTATATTTAATTTATTTTATTTGATTTTATGTATAAAATTTTAAATTAAAATTTGTTTATTAAAAACTGCATAAAAAATTTATAAAATAAAAAGTGACATTATTATTTTATACTCCCTCCGTCCCTAAATAAAGTTCCTCTTTCGTTTTTTCTTTGTCCCTAAATAAACTTCTCTTTTCCCTTAAAAAACCCCTTTTACCCCTTACTTTTTCAAACCCTACCTATCACATCATACCTTTTTACTAATAATCTACCTATCACATCTTACTTTAACACATCACATCAAGGGTATTTTTGGAAAGTCAACACCAAAATATCCCTTCCTTAAATCCTCAAAAAGTCAAAAATGGAACTTTATTTAGGGACAGAGGGAGTATTATTTGTCTCATTAATAATGCATGAGTAATTTATTTTGGGATAGAAAGAAATTTAGAGGTAGAAAAGAAATCTTCTTAAATAGGCGGGGTAAAACATAGAGAACAAAATACCAAAACAAGAACTTCATGTTTTTATTCTCAATATAGAAGTTGATATTGTGTTAATGTGGTACTGTATATGAACATTTCACAATATTTTTTTGGGTAATGTATATGGTCATGATAGGATTAGCATTATAAATGTAATTTACTTCCTATTTCAGGAATAAAAACACAGAACTCCTATTTTGATACTCCCCTCGTCTCTATTTTGATTACAAAATGGGAATTATGATGTAAAATTTCATGATTTTTGAAATCATTTTAGTTATAAATTGGTATCTTAGTTAGTTAATATGCATATAATACACATATATTATACCTTCGTACGTGCAATATGCGTATTATACTCATGTATCCGAATGATTTTCAAAAATAGTTTAAAATATGTGTACATTTGACACTATAGGTATAATACGTATTGATTGATTATTTAATTATAAGTTCTTTTTGGTACATCAATAAATTTTAATTTGTTCCAACAAACATTCAAACAAAATATGAATAATAATGCTTTAATTTATATCAGGTACATATACAATACTTAAATATTGTCACAATTTTAATATGGAGCATTATATTTAACATTAGATTCATAAAATTTCTTTTACTTAATTAATATAAAATATTAATTACTAAACCAATCCATTTGAAAATAGATACTTTTACATTCAACAAAAAATTTTACATTTTTTTTGTCAAGTTCTAACAAAGAATTTAATTTTTTCTACACTTTCTTAAACTACATACGTGAAAGTTAAATAAGGATGTTTTTTCCTAATAATCAAGGGAGTATATTTTTTCAAATAAGTATTTTAAATAAATAGATTTTCTATTTAAAAAAATTATATTGTAAATTATTCATTTAGAAGGTTTTTACATTTTGTTTATTTGCGTTAATGTAAATTGATGACGATCATTCAATAAATAAGTGTAGATTTGACGTATATATGTTAATATATATAAACATAAATAAAGACGTATTTTGAAAATAAAAATCGTTTAAAACACTTACATATCCGTATCCGTATGCCGAACGTTTAATATTCATAGTAAGTCGTATTTTATAAAATTCTAAAATTCCTAATGTATTATATGCGTACGTACGTATTGACGTATTATATGTCAATCATATCTTACTAACTGGGCTTGGTACATCAATAAAAAAAATAAAATTACATTTTAAAAAACTACGTTCAAAGTTTCACCAAACAAGAGTTGATAATAATATTTCATTTTATCAAATAATCAATAAAAATGTATAAATAAACTAAAGTTATCGAGATGATGGATAAATAAAATTATAATAATAGTAGAGACGGATGAAGTATATATTTTTAATATTTTAACTCTCACTTTAATGAGTTTAATCCTTTTCTCGTGGCAGAACCTCACAAAGTCAAAGCTATGAAATTGACTTTTTTTTACAACGCACCAAAACGGTTGCCGGAAAAAAAAGAGCAGCGGCCGCGCCAGCTGAGCAAAGAAAAATTATCCAATTTCTAGCAAATCCCCGGCCGCGCGAAATCTCTTCCTCTCTCTAGATTCTGTCACTTCTGTTCTTCCTTTTATCCGGTTCAAAGCAGGGGAATTTATACGTTATCGGAGAGAATCGGCGCCTCTGGCCGTTGATTTGATCCAGAGATGTCGAAATCCTTGCCGTATTCGATGAAAGACTTGCACTATGACAACGGAAAGTTCCGGCATCGATCGGCATCCAAGGTCAGCTTATTTCGCATTCCATGGTTGCCCATGTCGATTGATTTCGTCCTTTGTTATGTTAATTGCGAATTTGCCAAAATGTTCCATGAGTTTGAGCTCATCCGATTTCAATTCTTCATTGTTCATCTGATTTCTAGTGAGGAATATGTTTGAAACTTCGTTCATCGGTTGATCTACTTAGGAAAGAGTTGAATTTGTGTTGTGCGCGGTAGGTGTTCGTGAATAGAATATATAAGCTTGAAAGTTGAGATACAGTGCAAAACAGTAAGAGAAATATGAGATTTGGTGTTCTGCAGATTTCTTTTGCACCAGTAGCTGTTTTCGTATTCAGTTGAAGTTTTGGTTTTATAAGATCGACCCTTTGCCTTCAAAGAACTTTGTTTTTCTTCGTAATTCTCTAGCAGAATATAGGCTAAACTCCACCATTGGTCCTTCAACTTTATCAATTGTGCACGATTAGTCCTTCAAGTTTTAAAAGTTCATAAATAGTCCTTCAACTTTATGAGTTATGAGTTATGCACGATTGGTCCTTCAAGTTTTAAAAGTGCAAAAATAGTCCTTCAAGTACACGTTAGCCCTCCAGATGAGGTCCTTTTGACAATAAATGTTAAAAGCTAAATGGAATACTAGCTCCATATAATACGGAGTAGTCGTACCTAGTAGAATTTACTCGTATTATATGAAACTAGTATTTCGTTTAACTTTTAATATTTACTGTCAAAAGGACTTCATCTAGAGGTCTGACGTGTACCTGAAGGACTACTTATGGACTTTTGAAACTTGAAGGACCAATGGTGCTGAACTCATAAAGTTGAAGGACTATTTATGGACTTTTGAAACTTGAAGGACCAATCGTGCACAACATATAAAGTTGAAGGACCAATGGTGGATTTTAGCCCAGAATATATGTGAAAGATTTTCAGCTGTCAACCGTAGGTGCATCTTGGGAAGTTCATTTAGTGTTGCTTGGCTAAATTCTAGCCGTTTAGTATTGCTCAGAAAACTATTGATGATCTTGCACCAAGATGAAAAGATGGTTCAAATATATGAGCTTTTTATCTTCAAATGAACATTCTAAATCTGTTTATAGAAGGTATGAATTTTTCATTCTCAGCCATAGGCATATCTTGGGAATAATTTCACATTTTCCTATAGCTAATAAGTACTATTCCAGTGCAAAATTGAGTCCTTAATGATACTTAGACAAAGTAATAGATGTAAGTTTCTTTTTTCCCTTTATAAATTGCACCGATCTTTTCTTGCTGGTGCTCTGATAATTTGCTATATGTCCTTGCCTCTTCACAAATTTCTTTGAATTTTCTCAATGTATACAGGCAATTTCTCAAGCGCTCTTAACCAGTAAGGTTAACCGCAATTTTGTAAAATGCAGCACAGGGAAATTTCTAGGTTTATTATTGATTGGTGGTTTAGTATATCTCATGATGACCCATACCAGCGCCCATTATTCTGGATCTCAAGATATTGCAAATGATGGTGAGTCGAAGGAAGAAAAGAACTTCATAGCCAATGGAACAAATCGACTTAAACGTCTTTTGAGAAGACCTCCTAAGCTCCCTCCTAGATTATCACCAGATGAAATAATTCTGAGCAATACATCTACACATGAGAACATGAACTCAAGCGCTAATTCCAAATGGCAATCAAAGCAGCAAAGAGTGAAGGACTCATTTATCCATGCGTGGTCTGGGTACAAACGCTATGCAATGGGCTATGATGAGCTTATGCCACTGAGCCACAGGGGAGTTGATGGTTTGGGAGGTTTAGGAGCTACAGTTGTAGATGCTTTAGACACAGCTATGATAATGGGACTCGATGAAATTGTACAAGAAGCAGGCTCGTGGATTGAAACACAGCTTCCTGAGAGGCTAAACGTGAAAGGCCAAGTAAATTTATTCGAAACTACAATACGTATTCTAGGTGGTCTTTTGAGTGCTTATCATTTGAGTGGTGGGGAAGAAGGAGGCAATCCATTATACAAGGGACCGAAATCAAATATCTATCTGGAAAATGCCAGGAACTTGGCGGATCGTCTTCTCACTGCTTTCACATCAAGCCCGTCTGATATCCCCTACAGTGATGTGATTTTGCATGAATGTTCTGCCCATCCTGCTCCTGACGGGCTGAGCAGCACAGCTGAAGTGGCATCTTTACAGCTTGAATTTAATTATCTCAGTTTTCTAACTGGTGACCCAAAATATAGTACAGAAGCCATGAAAGTTTTGCAGCACATTAGAATTCTCCCAAAACATGAAGGACTGGTCCCCATATATATCAAGTAAGGATTCTGTTCAGATCAAAATGCAAGCATCAACCTCTAAATCTAATGATCATTCAATGCTCTCTTGATAGTTAACACATATTCAAAACTGACTCTTAATTGAGAACATAAATAGTCTCTCTTGTGTCACTTATTAAAGACCAGAGAGGGTACCTTCCAATTTTAGATTCTTATAGGTGCAATGCTAGAATTTACTTCTGAAGGAGCCCCTATAGCTTAAATTTTGCAGGATTGATTTAAACATTATGTGTCTGGATCTTAACATCCGGTTGTGATTTATTTGTATTGATCTTCTTGTGACGGCAGCCCTCATTCAGGAAAGTTTAGTGGAGAAAATATTAGACTTGGATCTCGCGGTGACAGCTACTACGAGTATCTTATTAAAGTTTGGCTTCAGCAACAAGGAAAAAACTGTTCATACTTGTATGATATGTATTTGGAAGCAATGAAGGGTGTTAGGCACCTTCTTGTGAGGAAATCTGTTCCAAACGGGTTGGTGTTTGTGGGAGAATTGCCTTATGGGCCACAAGGTGGCTTTGTTCCAAAGATGGATCATCTGGTATTTTTTTTTGTTTTTATTTTAAGCTTTTTGACTCAATTTTGAAATAATTAAAAAGTCCAAAGTGGTCAATTGATCAACAGTTGGCTACAATTCTGCCATTTATATCTCTATCATACATAAGAGGCTAAGTTGTGTACATGTGTTTATTTTCTCAAGATTTTCTACATTGGTAGCTCCAAGTATTTACATGTTTATGACTTTTTTGATGCAATGTTACTTATGTTTCCATTTATATTAAAAAAAACCAATGTGGAAATTATGTCATATGCTTGTTCTATCTTTTGAGTATTTGTTTATTTATATCTTAATTCTAGTATTTCATGCTTAAAAAGTAATTTGTGGCATATAATTATGGATATGACAATGAATTCTTTGATCTGTTCTTATGAATTTCTTCCATTATGATTTTGAGGGCAATGTTTGAGAAGTGCTAGGTTCCTTAGAATGTAAATTATATGATGGTTGTTGTCGAGAAAGTTGATGTCTTGAGTGAGATGATTTCTTAGCATACATTTATAACCATATATCTACGAGGGAAGCTTCTGAGGGAAATTACTAATGCTATTTCTGAAGTCCACCCAACAGCCAAAAAGTGAAAAGCAAAAGAATATTTAGATTTTTGAATTGTGGTTCTCGCGGTCTGGAGTGAAGGCCTGTACTAGTTTTGTTTATTTATTTTTCTTGATATTACCCTCTGCCATTTCAGTCATGCTTTGCAAATTACATTGTCAACGGTGTAGTATGGTCTGAAATAACTTATTTTGTTTTTATGGATATTTTTAAAAACATCATCCTTGGTTTCTCATGAGGTTGTTATCCCATGACCTTACTCTTTTAGGTTTGTTTCCTACCTGGTACACTAGCTATTGGTGCCACAAAAGGTGTTACAAAAGATAAAGCTATGAGGGAGAACCTGCTCAATTTTGAAGATTTGGAAAATCTCAAACTTGCAGAAGATCTGGCCAAGACATGTTTTGAAATGTACTCTGTGACTTCCACTGGGCTTGCTCCGGAAATAGCATATTTTAATGAGGTTAGTTTGATTTAAAGTCAATCAGTCATGCCGGGATTTATTCTCAACTCTAATTTTTTTTTCTCCTTGTGCTTTCCTTTCTATGAAAAGTTTATGGGTTGTGATTCATGCTAATTTGACGTAACTCGCATTTTTATTACTCCACTGCACTCAAAATAGTTGTGCCAAATAACTATCTTATGCCCATTTTTACCTCCTGGGTAAACAACAACCACAACAAGGCAAGAATACGAATATATGATGATGATGATCCATAAGTATTGCAGAGTATCATTATTGTTGTTGTTGTTGTTGTTATTACTGTTATTATTATTAATTATTCCAAATTTATGATATCCCTTTCTAAGCAGGGACATTCGGGGGGTGGTTCTGATGGTGGAAACAAGAATTCAAAATATGTGAATGACATAATCATAAAACCAGCTGATCGTCACAATCTCTTGCGTCCTGAAACTGTTGAATCATTAATGATATTGTATCGCATTACGGAAGATCCAAAGTATGCTTTGATACTCATTTCCATAGCTCTCTCTCTCTCTCTCTCTCTCTGTGTGTGTGTGTGTGTGTGTGTCTTTTCTCTTGTTTCTTTTTCATCAAATCTCTGGTAATTGTGTTTATCACCTCTACAGATACCGCGCGTGGGGCTGGGAAATTTTTGAGGCCTTTGAGAAACACACCATGCTTGATTCTGGAGGTTACACTTCTCTTGATGATGTCACCGTAATCCCACCCCCGAGAAGGGACAAGATGGAGACTTTTTTCCTCGGCGAAACTCTAAAATACCTTTACTTGCTCTTCGGGGACAGCAACGTCATTCCCTTAGATCAGTTTGTATTCAACACAGAGGCTCATCCCATTCCCATCAAACCAAACTCATTCCAAACATGAATGAATGCCACACTTTAAAAAAATGTATAATTTTGGCCATCTGGGGAAGAAAGAAATGGAGCCTGGGTTTTTTTTACAGCTGAGGTCATGTTTTCCTGTTGCTCTCCTGAGTTTGACACATACTGAATGCTAAAGGAGGGATATAGTTACTATTACAGTCTATATATGTACTATATTGTGTAACTTTTTTTGCATTGAAGCAATTAATTATAGTGTTCTTTCCTTTGTAAAAATTTTGGGCAACCAATATTTTTACTACGGGTAGGTTCTTTGGTCGGAAAAATCTTTGCCATGTTGTAGTATTGGTGTAATGATTGTTGATTTTTTTTGACACATATTTTTCCAAATAAACAAGTTTTTTTTTCAGGTTCCGTTTGGAACACGGAATTCAAACTATGAAATTGGAATCGAGGATAACAATTCCAATTCTAATGTTTGTTATTACAAAAATATGTAGATCTGGAATTGGTAGTGTCAAAAATGAATTGGAAATGGAGAATTCAATTCCATCCAAATCAATTTTATAAAATTTCAACTTTTAATTCAATTCTAATTCCATCAATTCTGTGTACCAAATAGAATCTCAAGAGTGTTTAACTAAGGGTGGACACGGGTTGGGACGGAGTTCCTGAATTGTTGGAATCAGGACTGACATTGTGGGATATGGGACAGTTCAGGTATGCGGCTGGTCTCTATTCTAGTTCCCTAGTTCCCCTTTGAATGGGCAGACATTAATAAGAATATTTTATCTTTCGTACGTTCTGCAATTTTTTATTAAAAAAATTAGGGTGTTTTTGGTAAATTCTGTAAAGATGGTTATTGGAAATTAATTAGACCGTACAAATAAGAAAAAGTGAAAAGCCTATGGAAGACAAAGGGAGTACCCCAGATTACTCAAACTCACCTTGTAGCTGTTTCACAATAATTTCAACATTTAATTTTAGGATTTTAAAAAAAATTATCTTAAGACAACAATATGCTTTTACATGTTTAATTTTTTTTTTAAATTATTTTTTAACATGTTTAATTTTTTTAAAAAAGCTAACACTAGTTAAAACCTTGTTTTGAAAAAAGGCATGCATGGGAAAGGACATTGCTAAGTGACTAAAGTGAGAAACACATGAGATTTTTTCCGACGTAGTTTATCCTCCCTGTCCCTAAATATGCACACCACGTAATTACACTCTTTATTGTGTTTAATTGGTCGAGTAATTATAAATCATAGCGTAATTAACACTCGGTACAATTGAAGAGGTCATATTATACTTTCCAATACCATGACAAAAACATATTCCCTATAAATGCATAATTACACTCTCAGTAACCAAACATGTAAGGTTACTAAGGGGCTGTTTGGCAACTTCTGAATCGGTAAGTGCTGAACCAATAAGAGGTCTGAACCATTAAGTGCTGAACCAGTAAGAGGTCTGAACCATTAAGAGCTAGTATATTGCTTAACTATTCAGAGGCAAATGTCTGATCAATTCAGATAAAAGGTCTTAACCATTCAGACTCTGTATAATACTTAACCATTCAGAGGCAAATCTCTTAACCATTCAGACATCTGAACCATTAAGAGGCTGAAACAAACAGTCTGAACCATTAAGTGCTGAACCATTCAGACATCTGAATCATTAAGAGGCTGAAACAAACAGCCCCTAAATGTCTGCTCAAATCTTCCTTCAACAGTTAAAAATCTTAAACTTGATTGGGCAAAACATCCCATNGCATAATTACACTCTCAGTAACCAAACATGTAAGGTTACTAAGGGGCTGTTTGGCAACTTCTGAATCGGTAAGTGCTGAACCAATAAGAGGTCTGAACCATTAAGTGCTGAACCAGTAAGAGGTCTGAACCATTAAGAGCTAGTATATTGCTTAACTATTCAGAGGCAAATGTCTGATCAATTCAGATAAAAGGTCTTAACCATTCAGACTCTGTATAATACTTAACCATTCAGAGGCAAATCTCTTAACCATTCAGACATCTGAACCATTAAGAGGCTGAAACAAACAGTCTGAACCATTAAGTGCTGAACCATTCAGACATCTGAATCATTAAGAGGCTGAAACAAACAGCCCCTAAATGTCTGCTCAAATCTTCCTTCAACAGTTAAAAATCTTAAACTTGATTGGGCAAAACATCCCATTTATCCCAAAACTGATAACGAGTGATTGATTCAAAGTACTTTGTTCCATACATTAATGTGCCACATCAATCATAATTACCAGAGCTGCATATCATCTTCACTGGAACCAAATACAGTAAATTTAAGCTTTGCCCTTTCCTGCCTGGGAGGATTGAATTCTCTGCTGTAATTTAAAGATCTGCAGTGCACAAAATAAAAAAATTAAAAAAAAAAAGCATTCAATAGAATTTATGCCAAGTGCCAAATGTTTTTTACCCTTATCAGTCAGTTAACATTGACAGCACATCTTCAAAAAGCAGTTCATATAAATTTGGATTATGAAACATAAAATAGAAAAGTTACCATTTCTTTCTTGCTGTTCTGCTTTTCTTCTAAATCTTGAAGAGTGGCATCCAAACGCTTCCTGTTAGAAATACTCAACAGTTAGTCTATTAGTGCTTCATAAAATAATAATGATGGAAGCTAAAAAGCACTGATGCAAACCATAGTTAGTGAAATTGTACATTATATATTAGGCCTTGTAGGATGTTCTGTTTAGCCCCTCAATCATTAGATTGTATAGTCTCATGTTCTTTGGATGAATGGAGAAGAGAAACAGGAAGCACAAATATACACGTGAACTATAACCCATTAGCGTGACAGTGCCTGTCCATTGCCAATGGAGTTAAAAGTCTTCTCTTTTTTCAATTCTTGTTAGCTTCAGGTGAATAATGCACTAAATCAAAATGGCACCTTAAACTTCCCTTGTTTCTTACTTTCAATGAAGTTTTGGGTAGTTTATGTAGCGCAATGCATCAAGGGTCTAATAGAAACAGTCTCTATGTCTTTTTTTTACAGAGGTAAGACTGCATACAGTACATCTTGACCCCAGAGGTCCCAACGAAGTTGGGATTATAATGAGTTTGTTGTTGTAGTTGTTGTAGCGTGATAGCGTCTTGCCCAACAATTCATTCAAAGACTGTCAATCTCACTTCGTCAACAATGATTCTTTGCTTTACTAAGAATGTTTGTCCTCACATGGTCATGGAAGAGGTTGGTTAAAAGCCTAATATCCACTAATTCAAAACCACTCATTTAAATGTAAAAAATGTAAAACACCATAAAACATCAACTTTTTCATCTCTAATCTAAAACTTTGTGTCATTCCAATCATTAATATATAATAATGTGTATCCCCCATGTCCCTTCTAAGCTGCTTCAAACTGCATGGGTATATAACCCGCGCAGAGGAGGAATCCCCGCACATCGTCCACCAAAACAGCGTGATGGTCAGAATAATGCCAGAGCAGAATTCTTGCTTTTGCTTCTGAGAGAGCTTTGAACATCTCCATAATCGACAAGCTCCTGCCCAATTTCTTTTTTGCAAGGAAAATAAACATCCCCCCCCCCCCAGCACAAGAGACCAAATAAACCATGACCCATATCCCCAAGATCACACGACTAAATTTCCCCAAAAAATTGATGTCCCGGCATAGAGTAGTTTGGCTCCTAATGTTCTGAGGTCAAACTCGCATTGTTGAAGTCTTCAATGACGACCCATGAAGCCAAATGCATATTACAGTGTGAAGACATCTCCCTTCAGCTATCCTTGGCCGCTGGGTTGGGTCTAATGTAGGCAATCAAAACTAGGAGAGAAAACTCAACATCCTTGATTTCACAATGATCCACTTGAGTAGTTGATCACCGTCAAATTGATGGTGATGCTGCCACGGTTCTTGAGAAGAACAATACCCCCTGCAAATCCCAAATGGAAGTCCATTGGATTACTACTGGCACCCAAATGGTAGTCCATTGCATCTCCCCTGCAAATCACGTCTGTGTATGAACTGGGGGTCTATTAGAAACCTCTATGCTTCCAAGTTAGGGTAAGGTCTACGTACACACATCCCAGACCCTGCCCTTTTGGGATTTTAATGGGTTTGTTGTTGTTGGTGTATTTAGTTACTTTTACCATAAAAGCAACTTTTTAAAAACATGCCTAACAACAACTACATAGGGACTATCTGGGCTAATGCAGCACTTAAGGGAATCGTGAAACACGGGGAATTGGGGGAAAGGCAGTATAATGAACATGCCTAACCTGGAGGTATGATACGGAGTACTTCATTAGTTGAACAAGTATTTCTAATGTTGTTTAAACTTTAACTTTATGGCCACTAACTAGTACTCTGTAAGTATTATACTATTATATCATCTACAGCATCTCAAACTCTTTTATTTCCAATCTAACCCAAATTTTTAGTTTTTACAATCCATATAACAGTTGAATTTTCTACCATCTAAATGAGCACTGACCAATCATAAAAGAACAACAGTTAACCTAAGGTTAGAGTAGCTTAAGTCATTGCTAAAACAGAATAACTCAGACCACCCCCAAAAATATAAAAAGCACACAACTACAAATGTAACCGAAACACATAATTGAGACAGCTTAATAAGTATCCAAAACTATGCTCCGACGATTTTTTGTTCTTTTTACTCCAATTAAGAGTTCAGTTGGTAGCATGATGTTCTCTATACAGTTTCAGTCGCCTTAAGGCAGGCTGCGGCAGACAAACTTAAGCTGCCAAAATTGTGAAACATAAAAGGGTTCCATGCTAGAACTACAGATCGCAAATCAAAGATTTAGAACTTCTCCGACAAACTATCCTTGAATCACAGAGTCAGCCTGAAAATTAACGAATGTCAACCCCACCAAACCTAACAAACAATTGAGACATAAACAATGGACACAATTTTCTCTTTCCCTAAAACTAATATATGGCCTTCTCCTTTGAGTACTTATTCTAACTATCATAGTTCCAACCTCTCAACTATCTACAAAACCGTGCCCGAAATTTCGCGCATTAACCCAAAAGGAACGGGAAATGCCCTTAAAGAAAGTTAGTTGACTCAATTTTCAATCTGGTATGTCAATTGAGAAGAACACACACCTAAAACTTAGAAACCCTATTCAAAATCCGCATGTTTAATGCTACAAACATAACAAGTAACATACAATTCGGCCGAGATGTAATCAATTCGCTTCTTGACATTGGCCCTAGCCTCCGCCAGGTCCTGCTTCACCAGAACCGGCCCAATCAGTTTGTACACATTCGCATCTTCATCCAACAGATCCAATTCCTATGTTGGCAAATTCAACAAGAGAACACAATTGGTATTAAACCCTAGCGCCGAGAAAATTACAAACACATGAACTGCATTTAAACAAACAAACAAATAAATAAAGCTCCGACTTTGACGACAAGCTCGTTTTCTCCGAGCTGAATGGTGTATTTCTTGCGGACTTGGTGGTTCTTGGCAATATCTGAAAGACAGGGCAGATAATTGAGAGTGCATAAGTAGAGAGACGAAGATTAGGGTTTATTTCAGGGAAGGAAAAGATTTGCCTTTTTGAAGTTGGCTGAGATCGTTCGCTTTGTTTTCTAGGTCACGCTGCATCTCCCGTAGGGCTATGGAGGACGACGCCATCTTCCGCTGATTCACGGCGACGCAGGCAAACTGTGCTTTGTTTGCTATTCTTGCAGATGAGGAGGATGAGTGATTTTAGTTGGGGAAATCATTCCAAAGAAAATAACACTACAGAAAAATTAAAATTAAGTATAAATTAATATGTAGGACCATGCTAGGATGCCACTACATGGGTGCTACCATGAATGCACCAATGCTTCGCACCGACAAACACAGACGATAATTGTCTGTGTCGCACAGACAATTATTGTCTGTGTTTGTCTGTGCGAAGCATGAGTACACCCATAGCAACACTCATGTAGTGGCACCCTAGCATTTTCCTAATATGTATGTCGCGATAATATTTTTATGTCATCTATAACAAAATCCATAAGACTCTTAAGATATTGGATTCTAATATCATGGATTGACTTTGGAATAAGATAGTTAGAGTTTGTTTAACCTATTCTTTTTATTTAGGTCATGTTCTCTTCACCTGATCTGATTTATTCTGATATGATTGAAATAAGTTCTGATCTGAATGTAGTTATATTTAAAGTTATTTCTGACCTGATCTGGTCTCATCTGATCTGATTCTAATAAGATTAAGTAATAAGTAAAAAATAACTTGAAGAGAACATGGTCTTATTCCATCTGTTTAGAAAAATAATTTCTATATTGACTTTGGACAAAAATTAAGAAGGATTATTTGGAGCCGACTTTCCAATTTTGCTCTTGATGTGATGAGTATATTATTAATGAAAAAGTATGATTTGTTAGGTAGGGTAAGAGTTAGTAGGGATAGAAATGATTTTTTAATAGAAAGTGGGACTATTTTGGTGAAAGGGAAAAAAATAAATAAAAATTATCCTAAATAGGACTAAAACATAGAGAAAAGTATCAAAATAGGACTTTCATGTTTTTTTTGGAAATAGGACTTCACATTGTATGAATGTGGTTGTAATGTGGCACTGTATATGTGCACATTATTATACTTTTTGGTAATATACATGACCATGTTTGGTAATGTAAATGCATTTTAAGTCATATTTCGAGAATAAAAACATGTAAGTCCTATTTTGGTATATTTTCAATGTTTTAGTCCTACTCTGGTCTTTCTCCCAAAAATAAAAGATTAAGAGTTTTGGTAAACTGATGGAGTATTACTTATTCTAATTGGAATCGGATCAGATCATAAATAGCTTTCAATGTAACCACAATCAAATTGTATCAGATCATATCAAATCGGAACTTAATCAAATCATATATGAATCAATCAGATAAATTGAAAAGAACAAGTTCTTAATGTATGGTTAGCTACACCATTTGATCGGTGTGGTTCTAGAATCACTCACATTGAATGGCCTACGAATAACATTAAATCTAACTGAGACACTTACAATATCGTATTCGTAAAATTGATAATTTTCATCTCTCTAATCCCCTAGGTAAACCCCCACCATGAACTGACTGAGTAGGGATGAAAGGAAAGAACAATCAAGTAATCATAATCAGTACACTTATTCAAAAGCCCAAAAATCGTTAGATAATATTATCTCTACGTCGTACTTATATTTTATTCGTTTTCTTTATAATCGTTTTGGTCTTTGGACAGTCAAACTCATAACTTCCGTGACTCGGATTCGCACGCGCAAATCATTGTTGAACTTGTCTCGTCGATATCCTTCAAATCGAGTATAATCTTGATGTTAAAAATATTATTTTAATATACTTTATTTTAGCATTTTTGTTTCGATGTTTATTTAATTTAAATTAAAATTTGAATTACATTTTATTAAAAATTCTTCATAAAATTCTAGGCCATATTTCAGGGCGTTACAGACGAAAAATTAACGAAAGGACAAATCATTCAACGGTAACGTCACTTAAAAGACTATTCATGTAATTTTAAAAATTGAAGGATTAACGGTACATGACTCAAAAACTTGAAGGACCAATGATGAAATTTACCCAAAATAAAATGATGGATACTTCCATGACAAAGTTGTTATAGAGTATTAGCTTTATTTTAACAAAATTAAACTCTGTCTTGTAAGTCTGTTTTTAAAATGTACGAGTAAACATTTTTCTTATTATATACTACCTCTGTCCAAAGTTTTTCTCTCATTTACTTTTTGAGAATTTGAGGGAGTGATATTTTTATATTGACTTTCCAAAAATACCCCTGATATGATGAATAGAAGTGGGATATGATGGATAGATTATTAGGGCATGTTTGGGAATAACGTTAGAGATTAGCGTTAGTGTTTTAGATAAAATGTTAACGGTGCAGATTACTTTGAAAACGCTATCCGTAGATAGCCTTTTCAAAGCGCTAACGCGAATAGCTAACGCTATTCCCAAACAAGTTTTTAGTAAAAAGGTATGATATGATAAGTAATCGATTGGATTCAATTTTTTAATGTGATTCAGTCCAAATGTTTTATTGCCCAATTCAGTTGTCCATACCTCATCCTAAATTCTATCAATATAATTGAGCCATATTTGATATAGGTCTAAATTCCATAATTGGTCCTTTATAACAGAGAGGTTTCCCTATTTAGTCCTCTATTATCAAATATTACCCCAGTGGTCCTTCTTTTATGGGTATCTTTCCACAAATAGTCTTTTTTGATCTTCTATCATGTTGGTATTAATTTAAGGGCTAAAAGTGTAATTTCACAATGATAACATATCTTTTTTGTCATTCACAATTCCTAAGGTTGTTCCGTTTGCGTCGTTTGTGAATTACAGTCGCTTTCAACTAGAACCATAGTCTACAAATGTGGTCTTTCGTCGTAATCCTAGCCCACAATCGTAGTCATTATTTTTGTGTTATCCGTTTAACCAATATCAGAACACGTTACTAGACATAATGTTGATGTCAAATTATATTTTTAGTCTTTAAATTAACACCAACGTGACAGAAGATTAAAAAAGGACCATTTGTGGAAAGGCACATTAAAAAGAGGACTACGGGGATAATATTTGATAATAGATGACTAAATATGAAAACCCCCTTGTTATAAAGGACAAATTATAGAATTTACTCATTTTCTAATGATAATTGTTACTCTTACTTTTATGATTCATATCATTTAAATGAAATAAGTTATTTTTACTTTTATTAGTTTAATTTTTTAAAAAATATTCACTCCATCTTAAAGTATTTATTAAATTTTGAATTTATACAGCCATGTTGAATTTTATACTAATATTTTAATTAATTTAAATTTACAAAAAGTATGACTCAATTATATGAAAAAGAGAAGATTCCTCATGTGTATTATAATGGAAAATGATTAAAATGCATGAAGTGACGACAAAATTAATGGAAGGACTAACCATACAACGCTAACGTGACTGAAAAGACTATTCGTGTAATTTTTAAAATTGAAGGATTAATTGTGCATGACTAAAAAAACTTAAAAGAACCATTGATAGAATTTAGCCAAAATAAAATTATGCATGCATACTTCCATGACAAAGTTACGTTGTTACGGAGCATTAACTTTATTTTAACAAAATTAAACTCTGTCTTGTAAGTTTATTTTTAAAATATAAACATTTTTCAGAGTTATATTATAGTCACATCAATATTTTGACACCAAGTTTTGTCAAGAAAGCAACTCAACCAGAAGCTCAAGCTTGTGGTTGTGACCCAAGAAATGTTTCTTATATTCTAACACGGCCTCTCACGTGCAAACATAGTCTTTTTTCGAGCCTCGCACGTGAAACCTTAATTTTTTTAAAACTGGGTGTTGCTGATTTTTGAACAAGTGACCTCTTAATCAACAAGGTTCCGATACCATGTCAAGAAACCAACTCAACCAGAAGCCCAAGCTTGTAGTTGTGGCCCAGGAAATGTTTTTATATTGTAACAAGTTTTCAGACAATAATTATTAGTAAAACACATGATGATAAATTTCAGTATCAAAGTTACATTGGTGTGCCAATTGGCTATTTTGCATGATTGATATTTTGATCTTAGCTTTCTGATTTTTCTATATAAGAATATTAGAATATTTCAAGTATGGAAATAATGTTAAGTGGTGAATTGTATAAATTTGGTGTATAATTTATTATTAGCATCACGTGTCAATGTATCTTAAAAAAAGTTTTGTAACGTACTCGGTAATACTCGTATATATATACATACTATCTATCTTCTTTACCAAGTGACCAACAATTAATCTAAGAGGGAAATAATTTAATTTAATAATATAAGAAGATGGGTTTAGTTGGCCGCAAGGACTCCAATGGACGCACTCTAATGCTTACTACTCTATGTGTAATTATGATGATGATGAATCACCTTGCCGTCGGTATGCTTCATCATAAATTAATCTTTATATATATTTAGAAACAGATGGGTAAAATTGTCTTGTTTCTTATAAATGAAGTTGATATATAAGCAAACGATATGTGAATACCGAATACTCTTTTACATTTAGGCATTGTTCTTTTGGGTTGGAGTTTGGAAATTAGATATTAGAAGAAATTAGAAATGATTGGAAGAAGCCATATATTTATAGGCAAAAAAAAAACTCGAGTGGACATGTTGGTTGATCTAACAAGACAACTTTTCGTGTAATTGGCTATTTCTTCCCTAATTTTCTTTTTTGCATTGCCTACATGTATGGTTTCTTAAAGGTTTGGTGGTGAGTGGCGGGAAGCAAAATGTGCTGCTGGATCCGAATTGGCCGTGCCCCACGGATATACCGTGCAAAACGGATGCTGACTGTGTTGTCCCGTGCAAGGACCGCGGGGGTGGCAGCTGCCTCAACTACGAGGATGATCCCCAGTACTATTGTTGTTGTCCCGAACCAGATGTTTTGATTTGATTTTATGAAATCCAAACCAAGGGAAGTGACCTTTGTATGCGTGTGTTAATTCTCAAAATATTATATTCAATTTGTTCAATACTTGCTCAATACTCCCTCCGTTCTAATTTTTAGGTCACGTTCTCTCTACGTACCGTACCTAATTTGAATGGTTCTGATATAATAGGAATAAGTTTTGATCAGATCGATCTGATCTGAATATAGTTATATTTAAAGCTGTTTTGATCCTATCTGGTCTGATATGATCTGAACTGAACTGTTTCCTATAAGAAAAAATAATAAATAATAAAAATAAATTGAAGAAAACATAACCTTAGTTTGACTTTTATGCTAACTTTAATTATAAAGTATGAGAAAAGTATATTTGATTAT